GGGGTAGGGTCTGCGTGTCATTCACGCTAAAGGATTTATGACGTCTTGGGTTCGCGTGTTATATTAACGATAAAGGGTGCCATGTGCGTAGTATAACACCGTTTTGCATATAGCGTTCTATATGACGTTAAAGGATGAGAACAGGTTGAGCATTCTGTTGATAACAAGCAGAATCACTGAAGGAGAAAACCGGAATTTAAAGTCGCCATTATGGAGATGAGTGTTTGTTTTAGTTGGGCTCTTGACCCCCACATTATTAACTTTATATTTTGTCTGGCTGCTGTATCTGAGCTATAACAGCCAGATAATCAACTAGAAAATGTGATCTGTGTGGATGTTGTTTGTGTATTAACATTATCATTACATCACAGTCATTTGACCTGAATCACTGAACTCATACAGAAGCAATTTTCTGAGTAATTTTTAACTTGTGGATTATAGCAGCTATGCCATTGTAGAGCAAACATTTTTTAGCCAATCCAAACGATAAAAAAACCCTAAAAACAAAAAATATTTGTATGCATGTACACAGACATCAATATTTAGCATATGGATCTCAGCAATGGTGACAAACAGATCACCTCTGAACATAAGCTCATTATTTATTCATGCAGCAATGCATGATGGGAGCCATAAATGAGTTTTGATTGGTGGCACCCAGAATGCACTGCAACATGCTTTATAATAGTCACCACTGTTGAGAGTCACATGCTGATTATTGATGTCTGTGTGTGCCTACATGAACTAATTTGTTTTTTAGAAGTTTCTTTTTCATTGATTTGATCATTTTGATTCCTTTGAAATGGCTAAATGCTATAATCCATAAGGTAAACTTAACAGTGGCAGTGGCTCATGGTTGTCTACAAACCGGAAGGTTGGTGGTTCAATCCCCAGTTCCACCTGACCAAGTGTCAAGATGTCGTGTTTTAACATATAATGAGCATGTTAAAATACATCCAACATCATAAGAAATGGATTCAGCACCTAAAAATCATATAGAAACAACACTTGAAGTACTTTTCCTCAAAAATGCCTACTGCATCTTATCCATGGCTATTTATCTATTTTGGAACTCGACTAAAACCCTTTCACTTCTTTCAGCCATGTTTTCACACAAAACAAAACCTACGGTTCATGTGCACCCCATTGGGACTACTAATGCTTGGCTGATACCAGAGCAAGGTGCTCTGCTTATATCTAACAGTTAATTGAATGAATAGATAGGTTTTAGCAGTGTTCATTACCATAGTAACTTACGATTGGGGCAGGTTACTGTATGTTCCAGGTAAGAGGTTGCAAACCGAATTTGGACCAATCAGTTGTGAGCAAAGAAAAAGTCACTCCAACGGTTCTACTCCAAATTAAAGGTCATTACATATAGAAAATTATTTTTCAAGAAAAAATTGCCTGGCTTTTATTTAGAAAAAATAATTTGTTATGATTTAGATACAGTATATTACGCTACATATAGCCTACACTATATTACATAACAAATATTGTAATAATTTCATTAAAATGGTTGATGTAAATGATGGTCAAGTGGTTCACCTTTATATGAATGGATTCACTAAATTTAATTTGCCACTCCAGCGCTACAAGGACAATTTTAGAACGTTTTTTTCGCAGCTCAATCGACTCGAAATCTGTGTGTGAACTGCAGGGGGAAAAGCAACAACATTGTATCAACAACATCTGTCAAGCCACAAAACTGTATCATTAAAGGTCATTAAATGTTTGATGTGAATATGAACAGACGTCACTGCCAAGAAATTGTTCACAATCACACCCCACATGCCAAACACTGTGAAATTTATAAACATTGTATTACAGTTGATATGATGATAGTGGATATTGCGAGGAAATCACATGATCCTTGTACATAATTAAAATTGTAATTTTAATTTTAATTGGTATATTGGATTTGTTTCTGGATATATCTCCTTCTCCTGGTAGCTCAAACACATCAGAAGATCTGGTTAGTGGTGAAGGTAACAGATGGGTCAGATCTGAAAAATCTCCTAAATGATCTGCACATAAACTGAGTATGCCATGCAAAATAACAATATAGTTGGAACGATATGCGTCCGAAATGACAACATACTGACGTCAGACCCACGTCCATTTACAAACCAATCAATGTCAAGATGGCAGCCCACGTAGATGATGAAGACAGGACGCAAGCATGTCATGTAAAGTTCTTTAGTGTCCTCGCATAATTGCAGCGTGAAACCAAACCAAAACTTTCTGAAAGTATAAAATGTATCAAAACGTGAACTTTGGTTCGGACCTGGGTGCAGACTTGCATCAGACTCAGGTGTAAAAATGTCCTTATTCACGATACAGCAGTCTAGCCTCGAATACCTTACTGCTTTTATAAAACGGTGACTATACAAATATTAAAGCCAAAAATATATATCAATGCAACTTTCATGAAGTAAAATCACTAAAAGCCTTTCTTTCCGCTGGAAAAAAAAATATTCTCTGACCATGAACAGCAACTGAAGTTAAATTATTTGCTGCGAACACAGAGAAGCAAGAAGCAGCCATAACATCGGTCACGGGAAACCCCTTAACTGTTAAAGGGACGAGATATCGCATTGGACATTCAAATTATTTTTTATTACTAATATATTGGACTGACCTGAAGTAAAATAATACATCCTCTGTAAATGCAGGTACGACAGCTTAATCTTTTATAATACTCTACTTCTAAAAGCTTCAATGAACAATATCAATGAGAACAAACACGTTTACGTTGTTGCTAAGGGTGTTCTGTAGTGATACATAAAACAGTCTTTGTTTTATTGTGAATAAAACACAGCTATTGCCCAATCAGATTCAAGGAATAGAACAAGGTCTAAAACAAACATGAGGTAACAATCTCAGTGGTAATGTAATAACCATCCATTGTGGTAATTGTTTTCTCCTTTCCAGTAAAAACAATTCATGAAACAAGCATGCTTACCAGTAGCCTACAATATCATGTCCCTTAATATCTATATCAGAGAATTTGCTATTGAACGACACTATTTTGCAGCATATTATATTATATGTGTAATAGGTAATCCATAGGTTAGGATCCAGAAGGTGACATCTACAAAATCCTAGAATGTTTTCCTGAAAATCTTTAATTTCTTTTCGAAAGAAAGATAAACATCTTAGATGACACGATGGGGTTTAATTCTGAACTGAACTACTCAAAGTGCATCCTGTCACTGTTTAAACTGCCCTGTCAATCATCTTGTCACAGTTGACATCCTCCATAATCAATTTCCTTTAATGTCCTTCTATTTCAGAGAGAAATGTAGTAGCACGTTGATCTGCCAGTCGTGGGTCTTGAACGCAGAGAACTCTCCTTGTGTGTTTGTATTGTAATTTGCATAATGATCCATTTAATAGCTAAATGACCAAACCTATATCTTTACAAAAGTTCATATTGCCGTCACAGATGAATTATAAATGTGGATAACATCAAATAACGCTATCGTTTACACTTTTTACATAACTTTTTACAAAGATGGTCTCTGTCATTTTAGGCATTGTTCGTTCTTGAAATAAGACTGATATTAGCTAGTTATTTGATGCCATAAAATAGGTGATACTTAAAGGGGTCATGAACTGGCTTTTACATTTTTTTCATATTGTTGTCTGAGGTCAGCATATGACGTTCGCTTGGTTTTTACATAAAAAAAAAACATCACAATGAACAAGTAATAGTCCATTTTCTACCCTAGTTTTGAGCCTAGCTCAAAAACGCTCGGTTTTTATGGGCGTCTCGCACTGAACACTTGGAAGTAAACGCCCACTGCTGTGAGTGGATAACAGTGTTGCATATTACGAGTTTCACTCTCGATCCGGTTTGTCATCACGACGTAATGTTATTTAGCTATGCGTGTAATGCACGAATCGGTGGGCGGTGCTAAACCGGCCGTGTCGAAGTAGGCGTTGATCATTTTCTGTTTATCCTCTGACGTCATAGTTCCCCACTTTTAAAAATGAGTCGTTTGCTGAGCCTGGTGTCAATAAAAGCTTTTATTGGACTAACAACGTTTTCAGTTCTGAAACTTTTAATATTATATATTCTTATAATATGATGACCTCTTAGATGTCAAAAGCTCAAGGAAAATTTGATTTCTCAGTTCATCATGCCTTTAAATACAGTGATTAAATTAACCTTATTTTCTACTGGTCTTTGTTTATAAAAGGTTATAAAAATGTCCAATAATTATAGATACCAAATAAAATGAAACATAATATCCCAGCCATATGCAAATTAGATAATTAGGGAATAAGTTTGTTTTGCTTGTTCAGCAACATTCCTTCAGCCCCATACAGTATGTGACAGCAACACTGCCAACTCAAGAAGAAGTTTAACAAGTGCAAACATAATCCATTCATCTCTTTCTGTGAGTATTATGCTCTTTCTTTTTAACCTGCCCAAAATATTCATTATGTTTAAGACTTTACTAGTTTTGGTATACAAAGATGCTGCCCTCTTTTGTCAGAGAACAATAAATGAATGAACTTGTTTATTAGGGATCAAGGTTATAATGCATCTGGAGAAACACCGTCACCAAAACATTTGGTGCAGAAATGCTTATACTGAAAACTGCAAACGGACTACTAGATGAGCAAAAGGGGTGGCAATAGGATATAAACTTCTCCAATGTAAAGTTACTTACAGTCCTTACATACTTACAGTAAAACCCTGGTTTGAAAAGCTACAGAACAAATAATATAAGATAACCAGCATCCTCAACGAGACCACTGTTAGTTTTAAAGTTAAAGACACATGATAATTTCTACTTTAAATCATCCTTGACATTTCAAAATATATTTCTTTTTTTTTTTTCAAAACATATTGACAATCAGACCTTCCAGGGAGATAATAGTCACACCTCTGCTATCCAATAATTACTGTGTCTAAAATTTCAGCCCTTCCCCTTTGTACATGATTTGCTGGCTTTCGCTTCCTGCTACATTTCTGGTATATTAAAAAGAGAGGCTGTTTTATACCTCACTGACACAGGTCTCTGCTCCTGACAGGTTATAATCTAAAAAGAAATTAACATGGCATTTAACAATCACAGGATTTTGAAAGTGATCTGCATTCTTTCTGTGAGTACAACCTTGCTTGTTCTCTTGAAGAACCATCTAGAACAAAGGACAAATTGTTCTCATAAAAAAGAGCCGGTCTTGAATCACTTACTAAAGCACGATGTTGGAGAACTACAGGCTTGTTCTGCTATTATCCAAGGAGACATGGACGGAGTGGACAAGGACATTTTGAGGAATCTCATGAACTCGAAAAAAAGAAAATCCCTGCTATCAGAGTCATTCTATCTCAACGCAACCAAGGACTGTCCATCTTTCGTCCGAGACAGAGGGTTTCTGACGGTTTCTCTCAGTAAAGAGGAGAGAGATTTCCCCATTGCTTACTCCATGGTGATCCATGAGAAGATTGAGATGTTTGAAAGGCTCTTAAGAGCCATTTACACTCCTGACAATGTGTACTGTGTTCATGTGGACCAGAGGTCTCCTGAGATCTTTAAAGAAGCAGTTAGGGCCATTGTGTCCTGTCTGACCAACGTGTTTGTGGCCAGCAAACTGGAGAATGTGATCTACGCTTCGTGGTCTCGAGTTCAAGCGGACATCAACTGCATGCAGGATCTGCTCAAGTCACCCGTCCAGTGGAGGTATCTGCTTAACACCTGTGGCACTGATTTCCCCATTAAAACCAATGCTGAAATGGTTCAGACTCTAAAACAACTGAACGGGATGAACAGTTTGGAGTCAGAGGCTGTAGAGTCTAAAAAGGCGCGCTGGGAGTATCATCACAATGTTACGAACGGTGTGATTCGGACCGACATTAGAAAGTCACCCCCGCCAATTCAGAGCCCTATGTTCTCAGGAAATGCTTACTTTGTGGTTTCAAGAGAGTTTGTGGATTACATCTTTAAAAGCAAAGAGACTCAAGATTTCATGGAATGGGAGAAAGACACATACAGTCCAGATGAGCACATGTGGGCTACGTTACAGCGGATGCCTTCAGTACCGGGATCAAACCCTCCGAACAGAAAGTACGAGCAATCGGACATGAACGCAATTGCTCGTCTAGTGAAGTGGAGCTACCATGAAGGAGATATAAAAAGTGGGGCTCCCTACCCACCATGCACTGGGACACACAGACGGGCGGTGTGTATTTATGGAGCTGGGGACTTGAAATGGGTTTTGAAGCAACACCATCTTTTGGCAAACAAGTTTGATCCAGAAGTAGATGATGTGGCTATAAAATGTATGGAGGCTTTTTTAAGGTACAAAGCTATTTATGGCCGATCTTTACTAACAGTTGAAAAATCGGACATAATTTTATAATGTTTTTAAAAAGATCATAAAAATTAATTTAAAAATGTTTTTAAATATTGGAGAAATGGATGTTGATATGTAAATGTTTAACAACACTTTCTATGCTGGTCATATTACAATGCAAACTGTCGAATAAAAATGAATTGAATAAATAGTTTGGCTTTATGAAATATTTGTACTTTTTTATAAGCTTACTTTGTGTTACACATCATATTTAATATAAAGCAGTATTTGATTATAATGAATTTAAATAAGAAACAAAATGAAATAGGAGTACAAAAAAAAAAAAAAGGTCTCACAAGAAAAGGTAATGGGTCGATGACCGGGCCATTTTTAAGCTTCTGTCGGCGTAGTTTTGTTTCTTTTTCAATGAAGTGATTACTTACATGAAATGCATTCTTTCATAGATGATGAATCCTTGTTTTTATTGATAAATGGCAAACTACCAACTACTTGCTTGATATTATGATATTGTGCTGAATTTACATTTATTATACTGTATGCAAGTGAATCTTGTAATCTCTATGTAATTTTTATTAATGGCCTATTTTTGAAAGCTGTTATAAAGGGCTGCCATATTCTTAGGAAACTTGATAAACATGTTAACATATGTTAACAAATGTTATCCTAACAAATCCTGAAACAAGGAAAGAATAAGCAGGAAAATTTTGAATGTTTGGATCAAATATGGAAGTGGAAAAAAGAGCATGCAAAATGGTTGATGAAATCTCTTTCTATTCAGACCACAGAACAAATCATTTGAATAGTATACCAATGTCTAGCCATGAACGAACAACAAACTGAAAAAAAAAAAAAAAAGTTGAAATTCCACTTGTTATCTTAGCAGGTTTACAGACTGTCTAATTATACACTCTAAGAAGAAGTTAATGTAGACACTCAAGTTCACACTCTTTGTGATTACAAAATGAATAGAAATAACATTTTATTAATATTTATATAACAATAACTTGTATATAAGCGGGGTTCAGAGGCTGCTTCCCTGGTTTTCATCGACTGAAAAAAAGCTTGCACTCTACATTAATACACGATATAAAGTTATGAAGAGACTGAAATGATGTAAAGGGTTATCTGCCTAATGAAATTGGGGGGGGGGGGGGGGGGGTTGTAAAGTATTATCTGCCTAATGAAATTGGGGGGGGGGGGGGTAAAAAAAACTTTTTTGCAGTTTAAATTTTGTGAATTGTCTTGGGTTCAGAGGCTGCTTCCCTGGTTTTCATCGACTGAAAAAAAGCTTGTGTTCTACATTAATACAAGATACAAAGTTATGAAGAAACTGAAATGATGTAAAGGGTTATCTGCCTAATGAAATTGGGGGGGGGGGGGTTGTAAAAAAACTTTTTTGCAGTTTAAATTTTGTGAATTGTCTTGTCAATATTTCATGGACAATGAATGTGATGAACTCATAAATCAGACTGATCTCATGAAGTAGCGTGTGTATGACCCGCCAATTTATATTTCCATTTTTGGCGTGCTATCAAGACGCATAATTGCTTTTCAGCGTGTTTATGAACGCTGTTGACCTAACGTTATATAAATATATGACTTACCTCAACCCTGTCCCTAAACCTAACCGTCACTGGGGTTAATGGCATTTATGACTGTTCCCTTACCATCCTAGGTAAAAAAAAGATATGACTTACCTCAACCCCATCCCTAAACTTAACCGTCACTGGGGTTAATGGCATTTCTGACAGTTTTCAGATCTCCCAATTGATGATCTCAAAGTTGTGTCGTGGGGGGTTCTGTGTTGTTAACCGAGCAAACACGATATGCTAACCATGTAGGCCTACTGAAGTGTTTCCAATGTTTGATAATCTGATATTATGGTGCCCTCTGCTGGAGACTCATTAAAATAGACTAAACCGTATGAGAATATTGTGTCATGTTGTAGATTAGGCTACAATCTTCTACAGAATGGCTTTATGTTAAGTTACTTTTTACACTATATTCTCATACGGTTTAGTCTATTTTAACGAGTCTCCATCAGAGGGCACCATAATATCCGATTATCAAACATTGGAAACACTTCAGTAGGCCTGCATGGTTAGCATATCGTGTTTGCTCGGTTAACAACACAAACCCCAAAACACAACTTTGAGATCAATTGGGCTGTGATTAATCACCCTGCAGATGCAATAATTACTAAAAAAATAAATAAATACGTGATGATGACAATATGATACCAAGTCTTGACCTGCTCACATGCAGTAGTGACGGTTGGACAATGGCCGTTTTGGGGGAGGGCCGGCAAAAGGTCAATTGCCTTCTTCCAAGGGGGTAATACATCAGCCAGAAGTTGAAGCCTCGCGGGAGCCGCCAATTGTAGCAGAACTTCACCTGCTGTTAGCATTCCATTGACTCCCATTCATTTTGGCGTCACTTTGACAGCAAATAATGGCACTTTTCCACTACACAGTACATCTCTCATAAAGGTTTGCGACTTAGTTTAAATAGTAAAACATTATCCGGAAAACACCTAGCTTTTCGCTAAATCACACAAAATAGGCTACCGAAAGTTGCACCCACTTTATTTTTTTACAACAGCACCCCCTTGTTAGCGTGCTCGCCTCTCACACCAGAGACCTGGTTTGAATTTAAATAGTTTTTTGTTGCTTGTGTGTGTCTGTACAACAATATACTTCACATCTTAAGTGAATCAATCGCTTGTATTATTATTCTTTATCTTCTAATCAACATGTTTTGCCTCTAAATATAATTAAGATACAAGGAAATGTTTCTTGTCCCCATTGAAATGAATCCATGGCTGGTAACCAGGGCTTCCTCCATGGATGAGCGGTCCCTACCTTGCCTACTGTTTTCATTGGCCTAAGTCATTTCTGCATCTCTGAGGAACATGAACATGAGAAGCTGTTTCATAACTTAGTGGCACAGTGGCAGTAGTTTCTGGAAAGGTAGAGAACTGAAATGGCATTTAACAAACATAGGATTCTAAAAAGAATTTCCATTTTTTCACTGAGTACAACCCTGTCCCTCTATCTGCTGAACTATATAACAAAGAATTATCCTTCTAATGGGAAACTGGACTTGAATCACTTACTAAAGCAGAATGTTGGAGAACTACAGGCTTGTTCTGCTATTATCCAAGGAGACATGGACGGAGTGGACAAGGACATTTTCAGGAATCTTCTGGCTTCTAAAAAAAGAAAATCCCTGCTATCAGAGTCATTCGATCTCAACGCAACCAAGGACTGTCCATCTTTCGTCCGAGACAGAGGGTTTCTGACGCTTTCTCTCAGTAAAGAGGAGAGAGATTTCCCCATTGCTTACTCCATGGTGATCCATGAGAAGATTGAGATGTTTGAAAGGCTCTTAAGAGCCATTTACACTCCTGACAATGTGTACTGTGTTCATGTGGACCAGAGGTCTCCTGAGATCTTTAAAGAAGCAGTTAGGGCCATTGTGTCCTGTCTGACCAACGTGTTTGTGGCCAGCAAACTGGAGAATGTGATCTACGCTTCGTGGTCTCGAGTTCAAGCGGACATCAACTGCATGCAGGATCTGCTCAAGTCACCCGTCCAGTGGAGGTATCTGCTCAACACCTGTGGCACTGATTTCCCCATTAAAACCAATGCTGAAATGGTTCAGACTCTAAAACAACTGAACGGGATGAACAGTTTGGAGTCAGAGGCTGTAGTGTCTAAAAAGGTGCGCTGGGAGTATCATCACAATGTTACGAACGGTGTGATTCGGACCGACGTTAGAAAGTCACCCCCGCCAATTCAGAGCCCTATGTTCTCAGGAAATGCTTACTTTGTGGTTTCAAGAGAGTTTGTGGATTACATCTTTAAAAGCAAAGAGACTCAAGATTTCATGGAATGGGAGAAAGACACATACAGTCCAGATGAGCACATGTGGGCTACGTTACAGCGGATGCCTTCAGTACCGGGATCAAATCCTCCGAACAGAAAGTACGAGCAATCGGACATGAACGCAATTGCTCGACTAGTGAAGTGGAGCTACCATGAAGGAGATATAAAAAGTGGGGCTCCCTACCCACCATGCACTGGGAAGTACAGACGGGGGGTGTGTATTTATGGAGCTGGGGACTTGAAATGGGTTGTGAAGCAACACCATCTTTTGGCAAACAAGTTTGATCCAGAAGTAGATGATGTGGCGATCAAATGTATGGAGGCTTTTTTAAGGTACAAAGCTATTTATGGCCGATCTTTACAAACAGTTGAAAAATCAGACATAATTTTATGATGGCAGTAGTGATGTGTTCAAAAACGGTCTATCTATTGTTCAAAATATTGTCAATTATGATTTCATTGGATAGAAGTGATGTAAGAAAATATCACAAACTTTTATTATTTAGTTTTCAAACTTTCATTTATTGACAGGATACAAATTGATCTATACTACTACCACTAATGTATTATATATAATTTTATATTATATAAAATAAAAACATTGATTTGATTTTGATGTTGCATTTAGATGTTGCATTACGAGTGTTTATGTTTTTTTTTTTTTTCCAGCAGAAACAAATAAATATATTCAAATAGCACTCCATGCTTCACTTTTTCCCTGCTCTTCTGAACAGGAACAGAAAAATCTTAAAGGATCACACACAAAAAAAGAAAAAAAATATTTAAGCACCAGTTGGTTCTCAGATCATTTATTAATGATAATGTATAGGTTTTAATCAAGTTACTTTTTGCAATGTGGGCTATTACTGACGGAAATCCCGTCGTACTCCCATAGTGACGGATAACTTGAATCCCTGTATATGAAGTGTATTACTGAATATAAAATTACATACCTTATTATTAAATATATTCTCACATATTTAAATATGAAAATAGCTTATGTAATATGCAATATATTGTATTAACACCATATATTCTGTATGTTTTCAAAGATACTGTTAAACCATTCATGATAACTCATATAGGCCCTATAGGGAATTATATTTTCTTTTCATTAGGGGACTCCTTTTCAAATCACTAATTAGTCCAGGAGATTGCATGAATGAAGTGAGTGATATTGCATGTTTTTTTTTTTTAAAAAATCATGATGTTACACAATATTTAACAGTCTGGGGTCCCCTTATGAAAAGAAAATCTATTTTCATATATGAATTTTTCTTAACAAAAGCCATTAGAGATTTCACTCATAGCCTACAATCAGACATCATTTATTGTTTTTCGATATATTAACATTGAATGTGTAGTTCAACGTTAAGTGTCATGCCATTTAAATGAATTAAACTTTGAATGAATCTTTTCACAGCTCCCTGAAAACAATCAACAAAACTGAAAACATCTGCTATTCTTACTTTTGTCAGATATATGAATTACGGAGAGAAAACAAGCTATTCACAGTCCATTTTGAGAATGAATGTCGATCGTAGCGGGTCGTATTGTTGTCGTCTGTGTCTGACGTGATTTAACTTCTCCACAGTGGTTCAATGAAAACACGGAAAGCTGTGAAGTGATAAATTAGGTTGTTTCTTCTTTGGGTTGACATAAACATCATAAAAAGGTAAGCAATACGGACCGCTTTTAGTCTCCGCATATTTTTCCACCGACTGCAACTAAGCTCGCGTTAAGCGCTTTCACCGGAAAAGAGTTTACCCTGCTTCTGGTCTCGGTTGCCATCTTGTGAAATAGGCCTATGGATTCAGGTGTGTACCTCCTAATTGGGCAATGGTGGAGGATGTGCTAAGAGGTATAAGAAGTTATACAAGACAAGAAATAAAGTAAACGATTCAAACAAACATACAGCAGGATACAACGTTAAAATACACAAAATATAAAGTTATGAAACTTAACTTTGCCCTCAACCAAAACAATTTGCCAGTGAACAAATTATAGATTAATGAGACCAAAGAGCGCCCATTAGATATACACAAGACAAATTATATCTTATGTTTAACCATTAGACTGGAGACATCAGAGCCAGAGCGAAACGTCAGAAGCACTAGCCGAGGTAAGGCTGTTCCAGGCGGGATATATGAGTGTTAAGCGCCTGGTGAACGCATGGACCTCACAACTGTGAAAACGTCAGATCAAATTTTTAAATAGGCGCTATCTTTATAAATAAACCACAGATTTGAGCTTTAAACAACTACATTTTCGACTGAAAATATATTAAAACTACATTTCGTGACTAATGTTCTCGGGCAGTGTGTTGAAACTCTGATTAAACACCAAGTTAAACCGTTGCAAATGAAGAGTCGTAGTAAGGTTGATCATTTACTGATCATTCACACTTCCTCATTTACATGTAGGTGAAAATTACCTTTAACATGTCTAATATCACATAAAGCAAACTTACCGCATTGCCTCTATGATGCTTTAAGGTGGATGCAAGTGGATTCAGTACCAAGAGCACACCATAGTCTGTCTCCTTGTTCTTCTTCTTCTTCTTGTTATTTTTTCTTTTAATAGCGGTTGGCAAACAAGTTAAGTGCGCATTACCGCCACCTTCTGATATGGAGTGTGATGTCTCCTTGTTTCCATCTTATACTGTCTATGGTTTCCATGCAGTACCAGGAAGGATAAACAGGAAGTGACTTATTTGGAAATTACATCATCGCATGAGACAAATACTCTAAATTCCTTAAAGGACAACACAGTGACACAATAACAGTAGTTTTTTTTTAATTCCGCGGCTTTTCTCGTCTGTCTTTGCGCGAAAGCACCAAAGTGACTGAAGGATATTACAAATAAAACATTTATATATGATATTATAGTTTTGAAGTGCTGAAAAAAGATGTGTAGGCTACTTGTGAGCAAATGGTAGGTAATCCATGTGAATTACCTAAGACTTAATCATCCTTAACTTAAAATAAAAGAGACTGGTATTTTTTCCATGTGTTTTAATTAGACACGCCATCAAGTTTCTGCGACTACAATGAACTTTGGATACATTTAACATCTGAGATCCAACAATAAGGCCGTTTTGCATGTTCATCAACATTCCTTAAGACTCTGGTATGCGACAGCCACAATGACAACTCATTCATTTTAACAAGTTCAAACAATATCTATTAATCTCTTTCTGTGAGCGTCTTTCATTTAACCTGTCCAAAATATACATTAGTTTTAGACGGACAAAAGTGGACAGCATCTTTGTACAGTAAAAGTTCTAGAGAACAACACCAAATTAATGAACTCATGTGTGACACCAAGATTATAATGCCTGTGTAGAACCATATATTAAAAAAAATGGGCGAAGAAACGCTTATAACTGCAAACAGATTACTAGATGAGCTAAGGGAGAGGCAATAATACAAACACAAAATTTTAGGAATATTTAAAGTAACAAGTGTCATGTGTCTGATTTTAAACTAAGAGTTTTAAACTGCATCTTTGAGAAAGTTGATTATCTTATAATCTGATTATCTTGATTATCTTTTGGTTACCAGATCTGTAGCTTTTCTGACAAGCATGTGTTGTTAAAGGGTTAGTTCGGTATTTTACACTCAAGTGTTGCTGTGTGAAGAATTTTAGGTTTCTGTGTTATCAACACCCCAGCACTTTTTGACAATGATATATTGACAGTAAGATCAGATGATCACACCTTCTAGTCACACCTCTGCTATGTAACAATTTCTGATTTGCTGGTTTTCGCTTCCTGCTATCTTTCAGATATATTAAAAAGAGAGGCTGTTTTATACCTCACTGACACAGGTCTCTGCTCCTGGCAGGTTATAATCTAAAAAGAAATTAACATGGCATTTAACAAACACAGGAATTTGAAAATGATCTCCATTCTTTCTGTGAGTACAACCTTGCTCGTTCTCTTGAAGAACCATCTAGAACAAAGGACAAATTGTTCTCATAAAAAAGAGCCGGTCTTGAATCACTTACTAAAGCACGATGTTGGAGAACTACAGGTTTGTTCTGCTATTATCCAAGGAGACATGGACGGAGTGGACAAGGACATTTTGAGGAATCTCATGAACTCGAAAAAAAGAAAATCCCTGCTATCAGAGTCATTCTATCTCAACGCAACCAAGGACTGTCCATCTTTCGTCCGAGACAGAGGGTTTCTGACGGTTTCTCTCAGTAAAGAGGAGAGAGATTTCCCCATTGCTTACTCCATGGTGATCCATAAGAAGATTGAGATGTTTGAAAGGCTCTTAAGAGCCATTTACACTCCTGACAATGTGTACTGTGTTCATGTGGACCAGAGGTCTCCTGAGATCTTTAAAGAAGCAGTTAGGGCCATTGTGTCCTGTCTGACCAACGTGTTTGTGGCCAGCAAACTGGAGAATGTGATCTACGCTTCGTGGTCTCGAGTTCAAGCGGACATCAACTGCATGCAGGATCTGCTCAAGTCACCCGTCCAGTGGAGGTATCTGCTCAACACCTGTGGCACTGATTTCCCCATTAAAACCAATGCTGAAATGGTTCAGACTCTAAAACAACTGAACGGAAAGAACAGTTTGGAGTCTGAGGCAATAGAGTCTAAAAAGGCGCGCTGGGAGTATCATCACAATGTTACGAACAGAGTGAGTCGGACTAAAGTTAGAAAGTCACCCCCGCCAATTCAGAGCCCTATGTTCTCAGGAAATGCTTACTTTGTGGTTTCAAGAGAGTTTGTGGATTACATCTTTAAAAGCAAAGAGACTCAAGATTTCATGGAATGGGAGAAAGACACATACAGTCCAGATGAGCACATGTGGGCTACGTTACAGCGGATGCCTTCAGTACCGGGATCAAACCCTGCACACAGAAAGTACGACCAATCGGACATGAACGCAATTGCTCGTCTAGTAAAGTGGCGCTACCATGAAGGAGATATAAAAAGTGGGGCTCCCTACCCACCATGCACTGGGAAGTACAGACGGGGGGTGTGTATTTATGGAGCTGGGGACTTGAAATGGATTGTGATACAACATCATCTTTTGGCAAACAAGTTTGATCCAAAAGTAGATGATGTGGCGATCAAATGTATGGAGGCATTTTTAAGGTACAAAGCTATTTATGGTCGATCTTTACTAACAGTTGAAAAATCAGACATAATTTTATGATGGCAGTAGTGATGTGTTCAAAAACTGTCCATCCATTGTTCAAAATATTGTCAGTATAATTTATTATTTATTTAATTAATTGGATAGAAATGATGTAAGAAAACATCATGAACGTTTACTTTTTTGTTTTTCAACTTTTTAAGTTCTTGGCAGGATACAAATTGATCTATACTACTACCACTAATGTATTATATATATATTTTTATATTATATAAAATTGTCCAAATTTGTGTGTGTATAAAACACATCATTTACAGATGTAAAAGCTTGTGCAAAAAAAAATTAGTTAACATCTATGGGTTGAACCTATAACATTATAAAGTCAGCAATGTGCAATATTAAGGACAAGCAAATACAATTTCCCCAGTTTTTTGTTTTGTTGTTGTTCTAAAGGAGCAGTACATGAAATTAAAAAAAAATTATGTACTGTTCTCTGTGAGGGAAATACTAACGCAATATTGAATAACTGTTGCCGTGTTGTATTTTCACGATGACAACGTGATTTTTGTGTGGGTTTACTTGCAAGAACTCCACCCTCCCAAACCATTAATGAAGGTGAATTGGAAATGTTTTACTGGTTTGATTGTTTCCTGTCTCTTTACAACATTTCTCCTCGTTCTCCATTCAGCAGCCAACGAGCCGGTAATACAATCTGCTCACCTGCACAACCGCCATTTTCAATGACGAGCCAGAAATGAAGTTGGCTTTGACAAAAAATAAAAATGAAAGCAACAGTGTAATACAATGAAATGAAAAAGCAAAACAAAAATCCTAAACAGTGCGGGAGAGATGCAACAGAGGCTGGGTCTCTTTCCTGGTCTCATCTGAAGCGTCTTTAAAGGCCCAGACCAGGGACTAATTAGCACTCCAAACACCTGTGCCCATCTACAAGGGACCACAAGGGAAATAAGTCTTCGGGCTTTATTGTGTTATCCCTGACTACTTTTGTATTTGTTTTTTAATGTATGCAACAGTTTCTTACTGTTCTTCATATTTTTATATTTAACCCTTATGTGCTGTTGTGGCTTTTTTCAGCCACTAAGGGGTATTTTTTAGTCTTAATTTGGCCGTAACTTTTTCTTTGTTTCAGCAAATGGAATGATTTTTGGTGACAAATCTTATTTTGACACATATTTTGGGAAAATGCTTTGAAATTTTTCAAAAACTCAACAGTACACTCTGGGCAAATTCACTACCCTTTCGTTATGTTCGTGGCTGAAAAAAGCCACTACTTTAAACTGCTGTAAAAATGTATCAGATAAATATTTTTTTCAAATTTTTTTGCATAAATTTATTAACCGACCTCAGTCCTGATCAAAACTACTAAATGTTTAAAAAAAATTCAGGTTTTTAACTCTTTAATGGCCAAATTCATAAATGATGTCACTGATTTGGGAAAAAAAACACAGAAAATGACTTATTTTCAATAAAAAATATGATTGTGGACTGGATTTTTTTTCACCTTTTATCACAGTCTTGGACATGTCAAAGATTAGAAACAACATTGGTTTTGATGCATTGTTAGTTTTTGTGTAGCATCAGATTTTAACTTTTTCTCCCTCATTTACTGTTCGTGGCTGTTTTTGCCCCATTGACTTCCATTATAACCACATTTTTTGATTGCAAAGCCATGACACCATAAAATCATGCATTTTTGATTGTTGATGGTTTTCCCTGTTGGGAAGAGGTAAAATTTGTAATTTTTACTGTTGATAACCAGGTGGAACCATTTAACCCTTTAGACAGGCCTGTGCAAAAAAAAAAAGCTTAGTTTCTGGCTTTTACATGGAGTTATATAGAGTATAATAGCATATTACAGTGTGTATATATGTGTGTGTGGGTGTGCGTGAGTGTGTGCGAGAGTGTGAGAACTCACCTTGATGCGTCTGAGAAAGTAAAAATATACACTTCAGCTCTCAAAACTACATGGAGTAAACTAAAACAAAGTAAGTGTATTTATGCATCTGCTGCCTTTTGATGGTGAGAAATGCAGACTAAACAAAAACAAAGCAAGTGGATATAAACGCTTGTCATTTGATGGTGAGAAGAGCAGCAAGCAACATGAGAGAGGGCTTGACTTGTAGTGAAGTTTTAGAGATGATTATGCAGTCTGACCCCTCCAGCGAGCTGCAGGAGGTATTGTCTTCTCACTCTGACCGCAGACTCAGGACAGTCAGATCCTGGTTTGGATGTGGCACCCTCATCATCATCTCAAGCTTCCACTGAAGGCGAGGAGGATTCAGATGATCCTGGATCTGGATGGACTGGGAGAATCTTGAGAGGGACATGGTGGCTCTGAAAATCGCATGACCACTGCGATCATCCCACAGGCAACGTGTGGGCTCCTCTCTGGGTCTGTAGACGCTGGCCAAAATCAGCAGCCCCATGTAGGCACAGAGATCTGTGGAGTCCACCCCAGTCCAGTTTCTCATTGTGCGGTGTCCATGGAGGTTGGTCATGCTGACAATGAGGTCAGTCGTCTCCTCCGTAAAAAAAAGATTGAACACAGAATCCATGTTCTGAACCATTGCGATAGCATAGCGTGTCGGCCCTCGACTCACGCCTCTTGCAGGCTGAAGAAAGGGAATTGTCTCCGCATTGGTGGAAAACCATACTTTACCATTTCTCCCAATCTGCATAATCATCTCTAAAACTTCACTACAAGTCAAGCCCTCTCTCATGTTGCTTGCTGCTCTTCTCACCATCAAATGACAAGCGTTTATATCCACTTGCTTTGTTTTTGTTTAGTCTGCATTTCTCACCATCAAAAGGCAGCAGATGCATAAATACACTTACTTTGTTTTAGTTTACTCTATGTAGTTTTGAGAGCTGATGTGTATATTTTTATTTTCTCAGACGCATCAAGGTGAGTTCTCACACTCTCTCACACACTCACGCACACCCACACACATATATACACACACTGTAATATGCTATTATACTCCATATAACTCCATGTAAAAGCCAGAAACTAAGCCTTTTTTTGCACAGGCCTGTCTAAAGGGTTAAATGGTTCCACCTGGTTATCAACAGTAAAAATTACAAATTTTACCTCTTCCCAACAGGGAAAACCATCAACAATCAAAAATGCATGATTTTATGGTGTCATGGCTTTGCAATCAAAAAATGTGGTTATAATGGAAGTCAATGGGGCAAAAACAGCCACGAACAGTAAATGAGGGAGAAAAAATTAAAATCTGATGCTACACAAAAACTAACAATGCATCAAAACCAATGTTGTTTCTAATCTTTGACATGTCCAAGACTGTGATAAAAGGTGAAAAAAAATCCAGTCCACAATCATATTTTATATTGAAAATAAGTCATTTTGTGTTTTTTTTCCCCCAAATCAGTGACATCATTTATGAATTTGGCAATTAAAGAGTTAAAATCCTGAATTTTTTAAAAAAATTTAGTAGTTTTGATCAGGACTGAGGTCGGTTAATAGATCTATGCAAAAAAATTTGAAAAAAATATTTATCTGATACATTTTTACAGCAGTTTAAAGTAGTGGCTTTTTTCAGCCACGAACATAACGAAAGGGTAGTGAATTTGAACAATGCACAAGGGTTAAGTGGTCAAATAAATCTAATCTAATCTAATCTGTAGGAGACAGACACAGCGCACAGCCAGGAGGAGGAGCCAGGCAAGCTGTGACAGTAGGAATGGCATGAACATCCTCTGGCTCGGCTGACTTGGCATGAACAGTCTCTAGTTAGCCAGGCGTTAAGTGAAGTGAAGCGTATTGTTTTCAGAGAAACACGTGTCCAACGAGAAATAAACCATAACTTTCCAGTCACGTGAATGCTTCACTTTGCGTGTCGGAATGTTTGAACCCAGTCCACAACTCTATAGGTTTTTGGAAGTTTAAGTCCATTTACTATTAAAAAAAATGTTTAATATAAATAAATAAGCCTACAGCCTATGTTACATGATCATATATTCTGACACATAAACAGCATAGAAACCATAAAATAATTAGACCAACACTTACTTGCATCAAGCTGTAAGTTGGTATTTTGGTGTTTTTATAATAAGTATTAATATAATTGTTACATTTATGGTATTGCCACACTTTAATATGTGAATTATATTATCAGAAAACTGAACATTAAGCATTATCAGGCTTTTATTTGTGCTTAATGGATGAAACAACGACACTGCACACTCAGCAGCTCATAAACATGGCTGCTATTGCTATTGATGCAAGTGTTGTTTTCGACACTCTTGGTATGGAAGCAGAATAGTCTCAAATATAATTCACGCAACAAACATGATTCACACGTGCGTAGACCATTTCACATGCGTGAAACCTAATGCGTGAAAAAAAATTATATTCACAAAAAGCAATTCACCGCTACAAATAGTACCCGGTCTTCATAGCCACGACACAGGAAAACTGATGCTGATTTTATCAGCGACACACAGCCGTTACCGCTACCCATAGGTCAATGGAGGAAATCGAGTGCATACTGTTCCTCAGGATGTGGCTGATTCTCACATCAAGAAGACAAACATTGTTCCATGAGAGGCTGAGGGCAGCAAAACGAAACACTGCTGAAAAAACAGGACAGTTTGGGAACTACTACAGAGTTCAGACTACGAGAAAAGCCGACGCAAGCCGACGCAAGAGGGTAAGTTATGCTAACGTTTGCATATGTGTAAATACTATGCTATATTCAAAGTATTTAACTTTATAGCTACATTTAACCTGCCCAAAATATGCATTAGTTTTAGACTGACAAAGGTGGACAGCATTTTTGTAGAGTAAAAGTAGAGAACAACACCAAATTAATGAACTCATGTGTGACACCAAGATTATAATGCCCCTGTAGAACTATATATTAAAAAAATGGGCGAAGAAACGCTTATAACTGCAAACAGATGAGCTAAAGGAGAGGCAATAATACAAACACAAAGCTAACACATACTTGTCAGAAAAGCTACAGATCGGTAATGTCACCATTAGTTTAAAATCAGACACATGACACTTGTTACTTTAAATATGTTTCAAAATTATAGTTTTCAAAATATCTTGGTGTGCAAAGTTTACTTTTTTACAATGCTCTCATTGACTGTAAGATAAGACGATCAGACCTTCTAGTCACACCTCTGCTAAGGTAATGATTTCTAAGCCCTTTTTGCATAGGGTAGACCTTCCCCTTTGTACATGATTTGCTGGCTTTCGCTTCCTGCTACATTTCTGGTATATTAAAAAGAGAGGCTGTTTTATACCTCACTGACACAGGTCTCCGCTCCTGGCAGGTTATAATCTAAAAAGTAATTAAAATGGCATTTAACAATCACAGGATTTTGAAAATGATCTCCATTCTTTCTGTGAGTACAACCTTGCTCGTTCTCTTGAAGAACCATCTAGAACAAAGGACAAATTGTTCTCATAAAGAAGAGCCGGTCTTGAATCATTTACTAAAGCACGATGTTGGAGAACTACAGGCTTGTTCTGCTATTATCCAAGGAGACATGGACGGAGTGGACAAGGACATTTTGAGGAATCTCATGAACTCGAAAAAAAGAAAATCCCTGCTATCAGAGTCATTCTATCTCAACGCAACCAAGGACTATCCATCTTTCGTCCGAGACAGAGGGTTTCTGACGCTTTCACTCAGTAAAGAGGAGAGAGATTTCCCCATTGCTTACTCCATGGTGATCCATGAGAAGATTGAGATGTTTGAAAGGCTCTTAAGAGCCATTTACACTCCTGACAATGTGTACTGTGTTCATGTGGACCAGAGGTCTCCTGAGATCTTTAAAGAAGCAGTTAGGGCCATTGTGTCCTGTCTGACCAACGTGTTTGTGGCCAGCAAACTGGAGAATGTGATCTACGCTTCGTGGTCTCGAGTTCAAGCGGACATCAACTGCATGCAGGATCTGCTCAAGTCACCCGTCCAGTGGAGGTATCTGCTCAACACCTGTGGCACTGATTTCCCCATTAAAACCAATGCTGAAATGGTTCAGACTCTAAAACAACTGAACGGGATGAACAGTTTGGAGTCTGAGGCTGTAGAGTCTAAAAAGGCACGCTGGGAGTATCATCACAATGTTACGAACGGTGTGATTTGGACCGACGTTAGAAAGTCACCACCGCCAATTCAGAGCCCTATGTTCTCAGGAAATGCTTACTTTGTGGTTTCAAGAGAGTTTGTGGATTACATCTTTAAAAGCAAAGAGACTCAAGATTTCATGGAATGGGAGAAAGACACATACAGTCCAGATGAGCACATGTGGGCTACGTTACAGCGGATGCCTTCAGTACCGGGATCAAACCCTCCGAACAGAAAGTACGACCAATCGGACATGAACGCAATTGCTCGACTAGTGAAGTGGAGCTCCCTTGAAGGAGATATAAAAAGTGGGGCTCCCTACCCACCATGCACTGGGACGTACAGACGGGAGGTGTGTATTTATGGAGCTGGGGACTTGAAATGGGTTGTGAAGCAACACCATCTTTTGGCAAACAAGTTTGATCCAGAAGTAGATGATGTGGCTATAAAATGTATGGAGGCTTTTTTAAGGTACAAAGCTATTTATGGTCGATCTTTACTAACAGTTGAAAAATCAGACATAATTTTATGATGGCAGTAGTGATATCTTCAAAAACTGTCAACTGTCATTGTCAATATAATTTATTTAATTGGATAGAAATGATGTAAGAAAATATTTTCTTTTATGGTATAGATAAATTGATCCATACCACCAATGTAAAATAAATCGTCCTAAATTTTTGTCACTCTACCCATAAAAGCATATTTACATACATTGTTTTCATTTTTGGATTGGATTCATTTTTGCATTTAAATGGATAACATTTACAGATGTAAAAATGTGTAAAAAAAAAAAAAAAAAAAAAAAAAAAAGTAGTAGTAGTGTAGTGTAGTAGTGGTAGTAAGTTAGTATAAAAAAAAAATTCTCTGGGTTGAATCTTAGACATTAGGGATACTTCACTTTGAAATTAATTTATGATATGTTTTAGCTTACCTCAAGGGCATCCAAGATGTAGGTGTCTTTGTTTCCACAGCATTTTCAATTGTGACATTTTTCGGTCATACTGGTGTTGTCTGTCAGTCATGCAGTTTTAGGGCGTCCACCTCAAAGAGCATGCACAGAGAAGTCAAAATTAAACATAATTTAATGACTCGTAAATGTAAGTACACATTGATGGCCTAAGACACAAAACGAGCTGTTTGTGTGAGAAAACGAACAGTATTTATATAGTTTTTACCTCTTGTTAACAGCCGTCGAACCGATCTGAATCAGATGTCCAACTGAACACCGTCTCCAGACTTTACGCCGGAAGTGATCTCTCGTGCGTCCACGTCAAGCATAAGGGAGATTTCGGAAGTTTTACCCTTCAATAAACATGTTTAGATATACGGGAAATCACAATGGAAGACGATTTCGATATATCTAAATATGTTTAGTGAAAGGTAAAACTTCCGAAATCTCAGTGTAAACAATGCGTGACATAGACGCGCGAGAGATCACTTCCGGCCATCAATCATGTATCCCACGGGCTCTGTATATACTTACATTTACGAGTCATTAAATCATGTTTAATTTTGACTTCTCTGTGCATGCTCTTTGAGGTGGACCCCCTAGAACTGCATTATAGGACTGACAGACAACACCGGTTTGATCAAATAATGTAAAAATTGAAAATGCTGTGGAAACAAAGACACCTACATCTTGGATGCCCTTGAGGTAAACTAAAACATATCATGAATTAATTTCAAAGTGATCCCTTTAAGGATTTCGTTTTTGTTCTGAAAGAGCACATAGTATCAGTACAGTAAAAAAAAAAAAAAAAAAAAAAAAAAAAAAAACACTTCATGTTCTGTTCTCAGAAAAGGAAATGCTAACACAATATTGAATAACTATTGCAGTGTTGTATAGTATTCACGATGACAAAGTGATTTTTGTGTGGAAATTTACTTGCAAAAAAGTAACATACAAGAACTCCACCCTCCCAAACCATTAATGAAGGCGAATTGGAAATGTTTTACTGGTTCAATTCATCCTTTTCCACATTTCCCCACATTCTCAAATCAAACAAGACAAAGCGGTACACAATATGTGGTATACCGTATAACTATGAGACGTTCAGTGAGCAGATGACAAACAATGCCAGATTGTGGCCTTAAAAAACCATTTCAGTCATAAAAATATATTAATCTTTCTCCTTTATCACCTTTTGATATAAATATAGACATTTAAATGTAATGAAGACATGCATCAACTAGTTTGAAAACAGAGTGTCTTAACTAAGGGCAAGATATAGGAACTTGAACATGTTGACAATATCTACTTATGGAAATGATACATAAAAGGTTACTAAAATGTTTAACACACAGAAACCAGATATCATCTTACAGGTGTTTGGCACACAAATGCAATAGAGAGAAAAAAAGATCACAAAGTAGCAGGCAGTCAAAGCTTTAAAGGCATAGTTCACTCAAAAATGGAAAACAATCGGACAATTTATTCAACCCTCATGTCGTTCCAAACCTATGACTCTTGTGTGGAATACAAAAGGAGATATTTAGCAGAATGTACAAGTTGCTCTATTCCACAACTATCAAAAAGAACAGTTTGGACATTCTGCTAAATATCTACTTTTGTGTTCCATTGGTGGAAAAATGTAATGTGGGTTTGGAATGCTATGAGGTTGAGTAAATGAAAACAATTTGAATTTCGGGTTGAAATATTCCTTTAAAAGCCACTTTTCTGACATCAAGATCTTGCTTTCTCCAGTTAAAAGAAAACCAATATATTCTTTTCTTCTTCCAGCTTCTTCAACTCTTCTTCCAACTCACTCTGTCACTGCAGCAGTTGCTATCTCCACTTTTCCATGCATGTCCTTGTCAATCCTAAAAAGAAAAAGAAGGGGGAAAAGTGATGATAACGGTTTAAGAGTAAAAACGATACCAACACTTGAATTGAAATACCACATAATTCAATAGAGACAACAAAAACATGGTCTCATGATTTTACAATCAAAGGTTTAGTTTGATCACAAAGACTTTTCGATTGAGGTTAAAAACATTGTTATACAAGCAAAAACAAGCATTTAAATCAATTCATGTGAAACTTAAGTCAGTTGATTCTGCACTGTTCATTGTACAAACTGGCTAAAAAAATGTATGAAGCTTGTACAATTTACTTGGTGTGGGTGGTTTTCAAGGTGTTGCCATAATGCTGCGAAGTTGTGTTTCCTGAATGAAGTGTTTTTAGCATGATATGATATGGAAAACAATGTATGTGTACTCTGACTCCCAACTCTCCGTCTTACACAATGCATTCTGCGAAGTGTACAGTGGGACATGCAGTGAGCAGTGAGAATGTCCATCAGCCAAGCATGCATGTTAACCACCCGTGATTTAACTGTTCAAATCCTTCACCATAAAATATGATTTACTAGCATGGTCACACATACCATACTAACAGTGGCAGAACTGAGAGGACAGAACGTCAGAATCTAAATCTGTGAGACGTTCATTGCAAACACAAGCAAGTTAGTGCATCTGGCCAAAGATATTCCATCTAAAAAACATTTCTGTCCCTATTCGTATTCTAATAAATAAACCTTATAAAAAAAAAAAAATCAACTTCCTTAGATGTTTTTATTTTTGTGTGGATTTCTTTTCTGGTGGTGATCACCGTAATGAATCCGAAACCGTAACAACGATAGGACAAAAAATACAGGAAATATTGCTTGCCTTACTGGATTTTTATAATGAAAGGTCAATGCTGTAATTTCAGATCAAGTCAAAACATTTTGCTTCGGAAATGTGACAAATAGTGCTCAATGTAAAATCAAAAAAAGCAAAACAGCTGCATTATAATCAACAGAATTATAGTTAGATGGCACACAGAATAAAAACGTAGCATCTTGATGACAATCATGGATGAAAAGGTGCTCAAAAAGCAAATTTTGGGCCAATGACCAAGTATAGGGGGACACTTAATAAAGCCAAACGCTTAATTGTTAGTTTCGTGCAAATTCAGGTGAAGTCTACAGAGATCTGGCAGGGATCCCTGGAATGAAAATACAGATACCTTTTACGTTTTTTCCTATTTTTTTCTTCGTCAAACCTTAGAGGAAAGGCAGGGAGAAGGGGTTAGGGGCATAGAGAGTTTCTGAAGATACCACAGCCAACAGCAGATAGTACTTAGCAGCAGATCAGACTTTCAATAAAATAATTACAAAGCTGGAATACTGCTGAGAGAAGAAAACAGTATGGAAGGTCATTTAGGTATTTAGCATTGTTCAGTAGAAACAGATTTTTTCCCTATACTAGAGAGATACTTACTCTTTAATACAGTCTGGGATGGAAACATACTCCATCGGGACAAGCTCAGCCAGGTCTGTCAGGCTGAACACGTACTTGATTTTCTGGGTAAATTTTGAGCTGTAATTGGAAATTTCGAAATAGAATAAAGCAGCGTTAAGATATCAGGTCATTGCAGAAAATCAATTCATATCCAAACATAAGTAGAAAATGACTGACCTTATAAAAGGTTTGGTGAGGGCCAAGAGGGTGCGAATAAACCAGGACGGGTGCACGATTATCAAAGACTTCAAATTCTTCCTTAACCTTTAACAGAACAATGTTGCGTGAACAATGAACATAACATTTTTATTTTGTTTGCAGGGTTCAGAGATTGTATATTATTGAAAGTTTGAGAAAATGTTCCCATATATATGAATACATACATATACAGTGCTGGAGTTAATTTTGCCCCCTTGGTAAATATGATCAAAGGGGGCTATAAAAAAAAAATCCTTTTGATATTTTATTTAAAAATTTGCAAAAATGTAACCTTTCATTGAAGTAAAATAATTGAAATCTTCAATCACATTATGAAGACTCAGAGCTGTTATCTTGGAAAAATGAGGTTGCAAAAAGTATTTAATAAAAGTGGTCAAATAATTCTTTCCAACACGTTTTGGAGAAAAACATTTATTTGTATTTATTATTTTTTTATATATTTTTTTTAATAAAATATCAAAAGGATTAACATTGCAGATTTATTTTTTTACAGCCATCTTTGATCATATTTACCAAGTGGGCAAATAATTCTGACCAGCACTGTACGCGTGTGTGTGTGTGTGTGTGTATATATATATATATATATATATATATACTGTATATATATACACACACACACACACACACACAAACACACACTACCAGTAAAAAGTTTTAGATTTTTAATGCTTTTAAAAGTTTCTTCTGCTGCTCACCACTGCATTTATTTGATTGAAAAAAACAACAACAAAAAAAACAGTATTACTGTGAAATATTATTTACATTTTTTGTTTAATTCAGAATATTTACACATTTCTAAGTAAATAATAGTAAAGTGTAATTTATTCCTGTGATCAAAACAGACTTTCAGCATCGTTACTTCCTACGTTGCATTACATTACATTCTTCAGAAATCATTCTAATATGATGATTTGAACATTTGAACATTTCTCATTATTATCAATATTGAAAACAGTTATTTACATTATAATTATAAGGATTCTTTGATGTATAGAAAGCTTTTGCAACATTAAAGTTCAAAAGTTTAAATTCAGTTTTATTCAGTTTTTCAAATTCAGTTTAAATTCAAGAATTTTTATTGAATTTTTTTTTTTTTTTGGGGGGGGGGGGAAATCAACCTTGATATTCATCAAAGATTAATTAAATTGATCAAAAGTGTGAAAAATGTGTTTGACATATTTATTGACATTATTTTACAGCTGAACAGGTTTAAACATCTCATTTTTGGGTGAACTATCCCTTTAAATTACTCAAATGAAAATCTGTTAGTAAATACTGTGAAAGAGCTTCTCACCTTCGATCTATTTGCTGATAGCACTTCCTGAGCCAGCCCACACTGGGCATCTTTCGGCGCGAGGTGGCTCCATTCAGGTATACGATCATATAGTTTTCAGCTACAAGCAGTTCTAGAGTTCCTATGACATACCTGAATGATAAACAAAACATTAGTTGCAAAACTACTTGAGGTTTGAGGTATCTGGTGAGGACTTGTCTACAACACTT